AATTTGATGTTTCAATTTACTTTAATAGGAGGTAAAATTGATGATTCTGTTAATAATTCATAAAAACTTTATGTTTTTAAAATTAATGTGTAGAATCATCATCGAATTGGTTCATTGTTGCCTATTACGGGTTGAAGACCAAGGTTCACTTAGCTATATATTTATACTACAGATAATGAAGTGTCAAATAAGATGTTGGCTTTGAGACATAATGATGAAAATAATGTTACTGATCCTAAAATTATAGATGGTTTGATTAAAATGCTTGATGCAAAGAATGAAATAGTGAAGGCTTTTAAGATGGCACAAGATAGATTTACAGAATCTGATTATATTTTGATGTGTTTGAAATTAATGGGTAGCATAAGTGAATATGATCGTAGTTATCGTGTTCCTATTGCATTTGAAATTACTGGATTGATTGTTGGTGATATAAGAGAGTTTGATAGGCAAAAAGATATTGTCATTAAGCATAAATCAAAAGGTTTAAAGTATATTTCTGATTTGCATCCTTCATTTATAGCTATGCAATATTTATTGTTATTTTCGTATGGAGAAGAAAGTTTTAGTCTTGGTCTCTTTTATTCACAGCCTACTAATAGATGTAAAATTAAGAGAGAAACAATTACAATGCATGAATATTATGCTTACCTCATTCAACAATGATTTGCACAAAAGAATACATTGTTGAGAAAAGGTAGGTTAATTCAGCAATTTATTATAGATGCGTATTGTAGTGTTGATGAGATGAGACTTCAGTACATCAGACAAAAGCAAAAACATTTGAAGTTTGAATTGTATAAAGAAATAAAGGATGCAATGGAAATGGGTGATGAACAAGCAGATGTCGTTGGAAAATGTATTGTTTTACTAGCTTATTTTGTAAGAAGTCATCGATATTTTTTTCAGAATTATCAAGATGCTATGGCAATTTGCAAATATTTTGGGTATCCAAATTTGTTTATAACTTTTACATGCAATGCCAAATAGGCAAAAATTCAAGAAGCATTGAATTTGATTCTTGGGCAAAGAGCAGAAGATAGACTAGATATTATATGCAGGGTTTTTAGGATTAAACTTTGGCATTTAATTGATGATTTGATAAAGCATAATCATTTTGGCAAAGCTGTCGGTGGTATGTTTTACACTAATTTTCTTACGGTTTCAATTCAATGTTTTTTAGTTTATTGTTTAATTTGTAATGACATACACAATTGAATTTTAAAAACGAGGACTTTTACACATATACATTTTTTATGTCTTCATCCAAATGATAAATTTTCTTATTTTGAAGCTACAAACAAGATTATTTCAATCGAAATTCTTGATGATAATTTTGATTCACTGGGTTATGAAGTTGTTAGTAATTTTATGATGCATAACCTATGTGGTGCAGCAAATAATCAGGCTCCTTGTATGATAAAAGAAAAATGTTCAAAATTTTTTTCAAAATAATTTCAAGTTGAAACGATTATAAAAGAAGATAGATTTTCAGTTTATCGAAGGAAAGATCATGGTTCTATTGCTGTCAAAAATGGTATTGAGTTGGATAATCATTTTGTTGTTCTTTATAATATTGATCTTATTGTCAAGTACTAAGCTCATATCAATGTAAAGATATGCAATCGAACAAAAGTTGTTAAATACTTATTCAAATATATAAATAAAAGTGCAAATAAAGCAAAAATAATTCTTCAACGAAGCAATAATAGAAAACAATCTAATGAAAAATGAAAAGTGTTAGACATTGATGAGGTTAAAATGTATTTAGATTGTCGATATCTTTCTGCTTATGAGGCATGTTGGAGATTGTTTGAATTCTCAATTCATCATAACCATTAGTTCAAAGGCCAGTCATTCACTTGTCAAGAAAGCACAACATTTACTTTTTTGATAGAGAAACGTTGTCTGAAGTGGTTTAAAGATCTAATGTTCATAAGACTATGTTCACTGAGTGGATGGCTACTAACAAAGAGTATGAAAGTGTTAGAACATTGCTTTATGCAGATTTTCCTACTCAATGGGTATGGTATAAAACATAAATGAAGTGAAAAATAAGAAAAAATGAAAGATTTGTAAGAAGAATAGTGTATATTCATCTTGCAGCAGGTGAGTTATTTTGCATGCGTATGTTGTTGAATGTCATCAAAAGACCTAAAAGTTATGAAAAGTTGAAGACTATTGTTAGAGTTTTGTACCTATTTTTCTGTAAGCATGTTAAGTGCTTGGTCTTTTGAGAGATGATAGAGAATGGGATGACGTTTTGTTTCAAGCATCAAAATAGGTTATAAGTCATGAACTCATAAAACTATTTGTCACAATTATATTATTTTGTCAAGTAACAGATCCAAATACATTTTGGGAAAAAATTAAAAATTATTAGCGGAAGATATTGAGCATAGGTTGAAACAAGCTACTGGTGTTACACAATATATCATTTCAAACTCTGAATTAAAGAATTAAGTTTTTGTGGCATTAGAACAAATTTTCAATGAGCATTCCACTTCTCCGATAGAACATAAACTGTCTATGCCTTTTAGTAGAAACATGCATTTAATGGTTGACAGACTCTTACAAGAAAAATTGGACTAGAATTTGGTAGATCTTCGTCAACAATAACTGCAATTGTTATCAAATTTAAATGAAGAATAAATGCGAGTTTACGAAGCTGTCAAGTTGTCCATTCACAATAATGAAGGCCAAATATTTTTTATTTATGGTCATAGAGGAACTGGGAAGACATATTTGTAGAACACAATTATATCTAGTGTAAGGTCATTGAAAAAAATTGTGCCTTCTGTAGCTTCATCTGGTATAGCATCTTTGCTTTTACTTGGAGGTAGAATAACTTATTCAAGATTCAAAATTCCTCTTGATATTACTGATTTGTCTACATGTGAAATCAGAAAAGGAACATAACTAGTAAGGCTAATGCAAAATACAAGTCTTATCATTTAGGATGAAATGTCTATGATGCATAAAAATTGTTTTGAAGCTTTGAATAAATCTTTGAGAAATGTTTTACGTGTTAAATCACCAAATAGAAACCAAAAGCTTTTTGGAAGATTGACTGTAGTGTTAGAAGGTGATTTTAGGCAAATATTACTTGTGATCAAATTTCGAACAAAGATTGACATTTTGAATGCTGCAATAAATCGATTTATTTTATGATAGTACTGCAAAGTTTTTGGGCTTAAAAAAAATAAGAGATTTTTCAGAAATGACCTTGATGAACAATTAAGAGTTGAACTTGAAAGTTTTGCAAATTGGTTATTGGACATTAGTGATGGAAAGGATAAAACTTTTCATATGAAGATGAAGAAAATGCAGCATGGATTAAGATACCAAATGACTTATTGATTCTTGGTTTGGATGATCCTATTAATGCTATATGTTTGGCAGTTTACACTAATTTTCAATCAAGTTTTGTAGATTCATTTTATTTAAGTCAAAGAGCTATTGTTACACCATACAACGACATTATTGATTTTGTTAATGCACATATGCTTAAGTTAGTTCCAGGGTTCAGTAAGTGTTATTATAGTTCTGATACAATTTCAAAAGCATCTAATTTTTTTTCAGATATAAAGTTATTATATCTTTTTGAATTCTCTTAAATTTTCAAGCATTGCAAAGCATGAGTTAAACTTAAAAGTTGGTTGTGTTACAATGCTTTTGAAAACCTTAAATCAAACTTCTGGTTTATGCATTGAAACAAGACTTTTAGTCACTCAATTAACTTTTCATGTCATAAGAGCCAGAATTATAATTGGAGCTTGTACTGGTGAAAAAATCTTTATACCTAAAATTATTATGACAGTTAATGATGAAAAATTACTTTTTGTCTTTAATAGAAAATAATTTTTTGTGAGAGTATGTTATGCTATGACAATAAATAAAAGTCAAGGGCAAATATTAGATATAAATGGTTTATAGTTGCCTAAACCTATATTTACATATGACCAATTATATGTTGCTACTTTAAGAACGACATCTCGTCGTGGTTTGAAATTTTTGATTCAAAATGAACATGATAGAAACAATTCTAAAACAAAGAACATAACATATAGAGAAATATTTGACAACTTGGATTCAAGTTGTTACATATTAATTTTCATTGTTATTTTATGTTTTGTACATAATTTTATCTTTTTGCTTTTTTGTTAAAAATGGTTTTATAGTTAGAACCATGATTGTTATAGTGATTATAATTGTATTACTTATTTTTCAATCTTTGTTATATTTGTATTCAAAATATTTAACATACATGTAACATATCTATAACCTAAGTTTCAATATGTTTGTAATAATGACCAATTTCATTTCTCCTATTTTCTTTCAAGTTTTTAAACTTACTATAATCTATCTTTAACTATTTATGTTTATAAGACTATTTTTACGCTCCTATTTTTTTTTATTGTTTATATCATATATTAAACTATATATTATTATTTTATATTCATAAAGCATTACTTTTGTTATAATTAACGAATCATGGGTTATTATCTTTTATCTCAACTATCACAAATCTTGATGCAAAAGTAAATAAAGATAGATATATGATAGATTATTTAATATTTTCTTTTCACACTGAATTATTATATTTATCATAATTATTTAATCTCTACTTAATTTTAATATTTATATAACATACTTACTTATTACATCACAGACTATTTTGTTTTAATTAATTTGAATACCTCTTAAACCAACTATATATAGAAATGATTAGATTGTCAAGATTAATAAGTCTTTTTTAATGAATTGTTTTCATTTTTTTTTCTCATAAACATAAATATTTTATTGAAATATGTAGATTATGGGGCTGCATGTACTAATTTTTTAAAGTAAAAGGTCATCTCAACCCAAATGTTTTAAAATCAATAAAGAAGTTGAAAGTCGTTCTCAAACAAAGAGGAATAGAACATGATAAGAAATACATACCGACACAACTAAAACAAAAGAAAATGAGATTTAACCACACTTCAAAGAATAGAATAGAATAGAATACATAGATAGCTTTATGAAAATTTTACTTGGGGTGACACCAAAATTTCCATAATAATAACAGAACAATTAGATTAACTCCCACCCCATAACAAGATAACGCAAAAGAAATATCTTACTACATATAATTGCAGCCTATAACGCTTAAAAAACAAACAAACAAACAAACCAACCTCTAATCTAAAGAACGCCAAACTGAACTATGTGAGTTTTCGCCATATAGATCCTTTAGAGGCCGACAAACACTTCACCCTTGGAAAAACAAATCCTGCCTTTTGAGGGTTACCACCAACAAGAGAGTTCTCATAGATTTCTTTGCATTCATGCACTACCTGTTACACAAGGAAACCATTTCTTCTTTAACAGGACAATCCTCCACCATCATCATCATTAGAGCAACACAATGAATTGAAATGGTTAAACGCTAGTCAAAGCAGTGGATAACAAAAGGAACCTAAATCACCCAGCAAACTATAAACATATCAATCATCGACACATTTCATCCACGTAAGAGGGGACCTTAGCGACAGTGATACCAGAATGAAATAATAGCTTGTATAGATTTGGAAAGTATTTGAAAGGAAAGAAATGATGGAAAGGAACTATGAGGCATTGGCTCTCCTAATCACCAAAACCTTCAAGCCCAAAAGTAGGTTGAAAATGAAAACAGGCAGCAAATTTTATCTCACTGGTTCTACATTTTTTAATCTCTTCACCTTAAGTACTTGCTCCATTTTCTTCAACCTCAATTCCCTCCTACCTTGCTTTCACACTTTTTTTCTTTCAATATGTAACAAATCCTAACGTCTCACATACAATTTTCAAACTGATAAACCAAATTAAAGGTTGACAATTTACCTCCTTTGCATCTTTGCGTGGGATGCCTTCCCGCAGTGCAACAAGCTTCTCAACAACATCAGGCTGAAATTAGAAAAATTTGAGATTTTCATTCTGTTACATTGACAGATTTGCAGATTTCTGCAACAATATTATAACCTTAGAACAAATACTAGAAGTAGTGAAAAGATCTTTGTTGTATCTTCATTCATCTAATAATGGGAAGGACAATTTTAGATAGCATCCTATTGTATCAATAATGTTTACCGGGCAGTCAGGTTGGTGCTCAAGAATATTTGAATAAATTAGTGTGAATGTGTCCAGACTCTCAGCTGAAGCAAGCTCTCTTAGATCACTCAGTATCCGGACTCTGCTCTCAACTTTCTACAGAAGTGAGAAAAGCAGGATGAAGAAAGAGTTAGCAGAAACTAATTGATAGAAATTTATCCAACTGAATGACAAGGCAAAAGCATACATAGGGGTGCATTTGGATGGAGAATTTTGGAATTTTGAAGAATTTTAAAACACTAGCATTTTGAAATGCATCAATTCAAAATAACAGAAATTGTAATTGCATTGTTTGGATAATTAGTTTTAGAAAGAAATTTTAAATATTGGAATTTGATGAAATAAAAAATAATAATATTAGAAATAGAAAAACAAAATACTAAAACAAAAAATATTCAAAATGGATGTTATTAGATTTGTAAAAATGTGTAGATATCAATAACAATATGAAAATTTTAAAAAATAAATTTTATAGTAAGTTTTTGTAATTAAAATTTTAAAAAATAAAAGTTGTGTAACAAAGGAAACCTAATAAACATTGACTCCATAAAACCAAAGAATTTAACAAATTTCACCTAAGGAAGTGGAATTTGAAGAGAGAATTTGAGCCCACCAAAATTCTTCATTCAAAATTCAAGAATTTTGACAATTTCAATTTTTATTTTGCCAAACAAGGTAATTTCATTTTAAAATTTTGAAAGTTTCTCTGCAAATGAAATCCCTCCTTCAAATCTCTCATTCAAACACACCCAAAAAGAACTTGAAGACAACATATAAGATGATTATTTTGAGAGAATGCATGAATCAAGAAGCAGCACTTACAGAGACACTAATATACTCCCTGAAAAAGTCCATAAGAACCTCCTCATCTAGCCTCATTCGTTCAATAGTTTCCTCCTTGATGTAATTTTTCTATGATCATGATCGGAACGAATAGATGTTATAGGAGGATACAAGCATGCATTTAACCACTAGAAAGAGGAAACAACACAGAAATGTTTCCCTAAAATCAATTAAAAGATAATAGTCAAACCTGTGTTAAAACATGATCAACATAGACAATCGCCGTTTCCTCCAAGCATGCTTCAACAAATCTTCTGAAAGATCGTTCTTCAATATACCTTAGTTGCAAAGCGTTAAATCAATAAGAAACAATATTTTCACCTTGACATAGACAAGTGAAAGATAAATCAGTGTACATCAGAGCATGATGTACCGGTCAAACCTATCTTATTCCAAAGATGATAATCAAACCAGTCTCAAATGAAATCAATGACAAACATCAGCTAGATAAAAGAAAGCTTAGGCATAGATAAGAGTAGAAAGCAACATCAGGATGAGAACAGCATTTAGATTTGAGAGGCTCAACAGCCAGACCAGCAGGTAATTGGGCTAACTTCGAAATATTAGGAATAATGATCAATTTTAATGGATAGTTATGTGAACTTTACTGAAAAAGGAGCCATATATAGTAAATAAAACTAATCATGGAGGCTATTACATGCTGAATCTTCAGCATCTACAGCTGTATGTGAAGTTTTAGATGATATGAGAAAAAAAGGATGATTAAATTTCCAGATGCATGTCCTTTGTAGATCTAATAAAATGAAATTTTATTGCTTTATACCATATGAATGAAAGAAATAAAACCTTGCTGTGACCCAAGTTTAAGTAAAGATAACTTACATCTTAACATCCGTAAAATAGTCACCAAATGTTGCAACTAGGTACTCAGTAACCTGCCCTTCACACCACTCTGAAAAATAGCAAGGTAATAGACCCAAATCAATGCTTTAAATTTTAAAACTCCAGAGCTTTGATTAAGCAACTTTCTTTTTTTCCTCAGTATGTTTGGAACATAATCAAATAAGAGAAAGTAGTCTGAAGACAACTTCTCTTCCTTGCATGCATAAACTTCTAGTTTACTAACAAAAGGATACCAAAAAGATTCTCTTTCAAGGGTGAAGTACAATCTGAAAGTCACATATACAACTGAAAAAAAAATCTCCTTAAATGTTAGGAAACCAACATGGTTGTGTTTGAGATGAATTGGAATTTAGATTTGCATTTTAAATTTAAAAAAATCTCAAATCTTTCGGTTTAAAATTCATGATTTTGAAATCCATTGTTTGGATGAACCTAGGATCTCAAAATTTTAACCAATCTTAGATTTAAGAAGGGAGATATTTTTCCTTGGATTAATGTGACAACTACATAGCTCAAAAGATAATTTGAAATCCTGGATTTGGACCTCTTAAAACTCCTGGTAGATTTGACCCAAATACAAATCCAGCTTTGTAAATTGTTCTCAAACAATGTATTTAAATTTTAAACCAAATTCCAATCCCACCCTTCAAATTTAGGTATCTAAACAGACCATAATATCATAGGCCTCTTGCCATACATTCCAATCAAGTTCAGTTCAAAATTCAAATTTCGTAAGATTTGAATGACACCGGTTTTGGGGAATAGTCTCTGCATACTATATTATGAGTCTACAACCTAGGCTCATGTTTGATATCTAGATTAGATGGTTACCACGAAAATAATTTAAGTAATATAACACGAGCACCACAAACTTCTGAAAGTAAGAGGAAACTGAAATGAGAGCAAATAGCATGAGAGACTACCTAAACTGTTGGCTTTATGTAATGGTACAGATTATTAGCAAATATTGCTCAATCCAATCTAAGGAAAATACAAGTCTACTAACCACATGAATTGATCAATTATCTTCCTCATGTAATAGACCTACAATTGTCCAAATGAGATGCATAATGGATTGGATGGGATTAAATTAGATAGATTATCCCCAATTCATAAGAATCACAGCAAACTTTTATGGAAGATACTTGTCTCCATGCAAGACTGCCGAAAGACAAGTTATGAATCGCATCAAAATCCTAAAGCATGGCAATTAAAAAAAAAAAATGAATAGTTCTACGGAAGTGCCACATTAAGTAATGTGGAGTAGTTGTTGATTGCAATGCAAGCGAAGGAAACTTAATACAAACTTCTGCATTAATTTATAAATTTAAGTTCCCCTAATTATTTCTCCAATTGGCTCTTGTTAACAATTCTGATTTTGAAGTACTAAGAATATTATCCAATTTGAGGGGCTCCTTCCAATACAAGACTATGTGGTTGGCCAAGAAAAAAACACAAGTATGTGTGAACGGGGGGCCTGAAAACGCAACAAAATGTCAACGTGCCAGTGAGGTAGAATGGACAAGAAAAAAAAGTCAATTGAGAACAAAATAGCAAAACATTGAGGGCTAGGCCACTAGGTGAACACCAAATATCTAAGAAATGCATATGGTAATAACATACTCCAGGGAGGGGACTAAAAATCCATGTTGCTCTAACTCCTCATTTTTCCTTAAACTACCCATATGCGATAAAATGCAAACGAGATGGGTTTGGAGGTCCGACAGTCAAAATATACAGAAAAACTTACATAATATTGAACATACCCATGTTAGATACATGGCCACATCAGATACTCTTGCTAAGCCCAAATAAAATAACTAAAAAATTCTAACTGTCACTCTAATGATTATACATTATCAAAGTTGCAGGAGAAACATGATTATACATTATCAACGTTGCACCAAGCAATAACAGAAATTTGACCCATTTAGGAGAGAACTATGGGTTCCAACAGTGTATTCGACAAGCCAGACCAATAGAATCAATTTGAAAAGGTGGACTACAAGGATCATAAGTTACTTTACCTCTGTGATAAAGCTTTACAAGCAACTCTTGCACTCCAGGATCCTCAAAGATTACATTAACAGTTTGATGTACAGCTTCCTATTAACAATGCAGAACCTGTATGTGATTCTTTTATAATAAAGGAAATACTACGACAATAAAGTCACTTGAGATTGTACAGTATGAAATATACAGGAACAATTCAGCATTGATGCAATTAACAAGGAAAGAGGTTTTGAATTAATAAAACTCCATCCTGGATCAGCTATTTTGTTGAATCAGAAATAGCATAGTCCAATCAAAGAGGTACAAAATGCAGAACAAGTCAAATAAGGGACAAAAAGTACAAGGTAATGACTAGTAAGCAAGAGATTAGAAGACGATTATTGTGATTTTGATTCTTACCCGATCTAAACAAGTTCTCTATGTTCAAGGCACACTACAAAGAAATTTGATACATTTTACATGATAGTTCAGTGATTAAAATTTACAATGAAACCAACTGAGCATTTGGCACAGTGGTTGGTGCCCGACCCCTTGCTTAAAGAGCTGGGTTCGAATCCCTCTTCCCCAAATAAAAAAAAAAAAAATACAAGGAAAAAATGTTCAACCAAAAGCACAAACCATATCAGTCCTTTAGGTCCCAACTGATTTTGAACATCCAACACAAATATTTCGTTTCTTTAACATATTGACAGACATGGAACAAACAAATCAACTGACCAAGAGCTTACAGTAAGCACCAAGACAAATGTTAAAAATTTAGGCAATTATATGCTCTAGGAAATTAGCTGTAATGTAAAAGCCAAGTTTCAAACTATATGAGAATAAATATGAAGCACAACCACATCAAGCCCAAAATACCTCAACAACTACTTCAAAACGATCAGTACTAAATTTGACTAAAAATCCAAAAGAAAGGGAAGGAGAAAAGGCCAATTTTCAAACTACTTCAACAACTACTTCAAAAAGATCAATACTAAATTAAACTAAAAATCCAAATGAAAGGGAAGGAGAAAAAGCCAATTTTCAAACTATATGGGAATAAATATGAAGCACAAAACCGCATCCAGCCCAAAATACCTCAACAACTACTTCAAAAAGATAAATACTAAATTAGACTAAAAATCCAAAAGAAAGGGGAGGAGAAAAGGGTAGGTTGGAGGGGATAAAATTGTCCAAATTTCAGCATACCTTTGCAACCTCCAGGAAACCTTTGCATGTGTCTTCAAAATTTACCTGCAAAGTAGGCAAGGATATAGGATTTCAAAACAATAGAAGCATTGATAGAAACATTTTCATAGATCATGTACGCTCATGTGTGTGTGTGTGTGTCTACACACACACACACACACACACACACATAGACACACACTCACACAATAGGCAGGGATATAGGATTTCAAACAACAGAAAGATGGAAACATTTTCATAGATGTGTGGTCATGTCTCTCTCTCTTCTCTCTCTCTCTCTCTCTCTCTCTCTCTCTCTCTCTCTCTCTTTATATGTATATATATATATATATATATACATATATATATATAGAGAGAGAGAGAGATGCAATAAGTAATTTATATTTTTTATAAAGAACATACCTCAACAAGATAATAATTAAAATGTGAAAACAAATATATCTTCACAATATTTTATAAAAAGTAAGAAATTTCATCAAAAACAAGAGGAATAAACAGTGTAAATTTCATCCATATAAGGGCTCCATTTACTGTAAATAATTTATTAGGGGCTCAATTGATTGCAATACAAGGATATAGGCTCATATGATAGATTAATTATGTATATCTCCTATGATACAACACATGTCAAAGTTGATGCTAAGGATGTCTAGAATATGGTGTCCCAACAAGGTTAATCATTGAAGTAGAGCAGAGAGGAGAGGGACATTAATTCAGCAGAATTTAGGAGCATGATGAAAAACTTCTTTCAAGAAAATAAAGATGAAGGAAAAACATATGAACAAAACTTACTCACAGAAATGGAAATATTAATGTAGATAATAGAAGTACAATGAACTCTCAAAGAAAGCAACAATCAGGTATGGTTTAAGAAAATTGGACTGAGTCTCTATCTCAGCATTGTAATTGTTGTCAAAATAATTGCAAGAAAGAAAAGAGAAGAGAAAATAGGTTGATATTGCAAACCTGGTCACCATAATTTTGTGGAAGAGCCTCTATGATGCTGTTACTCAGCTCCATTGCAAGGTCATAGCAGCGCAAATTGTTGTTAATCTGGGAAGGATATAGTGGATTACAAGCCAATTGTAAATAAGTTTTGCAAGCAGTGCTTACAAATGGCCACAAATTTAATCATCCAGAAAAAAAAAAAAAAAGACATGGCCACAAACTAAGCACCCAGAATATTTACAAACCATAGCACATAGAGGTTCCAGACCAATATCAGAAGCAGGTTCTTCAAGTCTCTTCCTTTCAGCCGCTTGAAAATCGATCATTACCTGCAAAAGCATAGAATGCAGGTCCAATTTAAAAAGCAGAATATGAACTCCAGAGGTAATAACTTGGAAATCTAAAATAACAATGTTGCAAGGAAATACAAGGATGAAGATAGGGTGATGCAAACAACAAAAGAAAAATAATTCAAAGTCAATCCTTGCAAGTAAACCTTGTGAAAGCAGGCAATAAAGAAAAAACAGTATGCTCCCATCTAAACTCAATAGCAGCCTGCAATGGAGTTGAGGCTACACAAAACAGTAAAAAAAAAAAAAAAAAGAGGTTGAAGGATGAACAGATTTGGACAGTACAGTACAAGTAAGATTAGAGACAATTTAATAATGTTGAAAAAGAGTCAAAGCTGTACTAGCATAGAGATGCAGACCTGGCAAACGAAAAAACACAAAAATTTTGATTTTATATGATTTATATTTCAAAATAATTCAGAGAAATGTTCAAAAACATTTTGCTTTTATCTCAGGCAGTTCCAACAGTAGGTCCTCAAGTCGTGAAGCATAGCATTATCTTTGTCAAATTCCACAAACTTGCCTGAATTATTGCCAAAGCAATCCTGTAAAGCATGGCATCAGTGCTATTATCCCTAACAATTTGTACTTGCTCCCCAAGGATCCTGAATAAATCAACTGCAGCAGGAGTATATAGCTTTCCCTCTTCTGTCTTCTTTGGTGGTTGGACCTTGTCAGCCTCCAAGATGTTTAAATACCATTTCTAGAAAAAGAATGAGTGAAAGCAACAGTGAAATGAGAAACAGAAAAGACCTAAGTCATACAGTAAAATTTCCTTATAGTAACCAATGGATTAATAGGGTTGTATATCATTACCCTTGTTGTGGCTTGCATTCTCTCGACATACGAATTCATGAGAGGATCCATGGCACCACTCTCAGAACAGACTTGGGCAAGAGTCTCATCAACACCAAGCCCAACTAAATTTTCTTGGTATTCAACTACCCAACCAGTTACCTACGTGCAAGCATTTATACCCATAAACTACTAAAGTTACATGAGTAAAATGAAGAAATAGAAATACAATATTGATGCAGATTTAAGTAGAAGGATGTGCTCTAAGGGAAAGAAAATTAAAATATCAAATAGAAAAGAAACTCAAATACATCAAAACTAAAGTGGTGAATTGACTCCTAGATCAAAGATTAATTAATATCTATGATGTAATACTTGAAGATATACTTCTGTTCATGTTGCTCCAATGTTAGTTGCCTATCTTATAGTCAACTATACCATTACTTTAGCCAGGAGATACTTGTTGGTTGGTAGAATTTGCTCTCACAAAACTTAGCCCAGAAGCTAACTTGTCATATGAGATACAGACTTATATGTTAACTTGTATATGCCTTCAGATTCAATTTAGCTTTTATTATAAATATTCTTTTCACCATGCTTCAGGGTTATAATCATCAGCTATTACACACTGATAATAAGGTGCACAGGTCAAGCACATCAATGAACAAAAATGCAAAGTAATTTGAGATGTCATATTTGAAAACCATGAATGATCCTGGAAAGTACCTTTAATATCTCAATGTTTGTCAGTTCATTGGCTCTGTCACTAAGCAATCTAAGCATTTGAATAAACCTCTCTGTATACAGATTCACCATGAGCTGGAATATTTCATACCTGCCAGCAAGGAAGACCGCATCAGACAGGAATAGAACAATTTATGGAAGATCATCATTAATGAAAACATGCTTTCCAAGCTCAAAGCACACTGCTATACAGTTCCACACACCAAAATCAGGTTACATACAACCACAATTATTAAAAACTATAGTGGTAACAGGAACAAACTCTGGACAACCTTTTAAAACAGCTGGAATTATGTCACTGGCTATTAGTTAAGGGGAATGGAACCAGATGAAGGCAACTATAGCAATCTGAAAGAAATTTTACCAAGTAGAGTGATGGGGGAGAGCTATTACATTGAGAAGCCCAATCATTGAAAATAAAATTGCAAACTTTAACCATAAATTGTAATAATCAAATATAATACCTCATATACATCTAATTACTGCAGAAAATTTATTCGAAATGAATTAACATGCCCACACAATCCTTAGAACAAGAAGACATAACTTAAGCACAAGTTTTCTTAGCTTGAAAAGAGACAGAGAAATGTACGGAATATAAATCAATCAAACTGCAGTCGAAGTGATTAAAAGTTCCCTATTGTTAACAATTTATTCAAGATAATGTAGACAATGAAACTAGGACTTTGTGGTACTGCATTTGACTAGCAAGCTTGGTATAATTCAAATAACCTTGCATGCATGTGCATATGATTATGAAGTAATACACAGAACACATTGTTAGTGTATGTGCCCTAGAGCCAATCAGTTTGCCAATGGACATACAACTAAGTAGCACCAATCACTATATTCTAGTGATTAAAAAGTTTTCTTTCATCATTAGTATGAGGATAAAGAGTTATCAAGGTACTAATTGGATTAAACCCATGGAACACAATGACCTTACAAAGGAATTGTAAGGAGTTACAATTATGAGATCCTTATGCATCAAAGCAGTGTACCTAAAACTATTTCTAGTCAATGTATTGTTGAGACAGAGCATCAACAATGCTTAGAGACCAATGCATGTTAAGCCTCCTTACTTGTGAAGTAATTGATCTCATAGGTTTAAGTATGGAGATTCTTGGGGATGACATGTGGGTTCTTGTTGGAGACCAAGTTCACTAAACATGGCCCGCTATGAGAACTCCATGTGGTAGCTCACTCAAGTGTCTATGGAAAGGTTTTCGTGTCTCAGTCATGTAACTAATCTTTAGACTTGAAACACCAAGTTATCTTGTATGTGAACCATCATACTTTGATTTCACCTATACGGATCAAGGTAGACTTGGCAATTCGTATATTCGTGTCATGTAAAATATTGATAGTTCATGTATTCATGTCACATTTTACATGAAAATTATGTGTCACAATTCGTGTCGACACAAAAACATGAAATACATAGTTTTGCTTTTGTTAAACCCATTTATGATTTTTGTTAAAATTTTAAACCATGTCATCTTCATGTCTTTTATTCATATTGTGTTCATGTCATGTCAACATATCGTGTTTTAAATAGCCAAGTCCAGGTCAAAGCACCTAATGCCTAAAAAGGGTGCATTTGGTTATGGTCTGAAACATACGAAGGTGGATGAATGGTCAAGAGAGGTTTAACAAAACCAAAAATATATATCTGAAACATACGTTGTGTCATCTCCGTGTATTTGGTTTAATAAAACCAACATGTATCTCTTATTGTATTTCCTTATTTAGGGAGATATTTTCCTGTAATTGTAGCTCCATCCATATTTAAAACAAAAACCCCTTTCTATATAATGTACAGTTCTCTTGGTAATGATATAAGAAAAGATTTACACAGAATTTTACATGGAATCAGAGCCTTTCCTCTAGTCTTTTTGCCGTTTTATTGTCCTTTTCTTCCATGATTATCTGTTGGTGCCAATCTTAGTCTACCCTCCCTCTCTATCTATCCATGGGATGGAAGAGTGGAGGCCTTTGGTGTCCCCTCTAGCGCCTTATACCTTTCTTCCTCCTTCTTGCCTTCATTGCAATCTATCCCTTCCTTAAACAGTTGACCTAAATATGTTGACAACCTCTCCTTACACAATATGCCATTTATGGCTATGGGTGAACCTACTACTACTATTTCAATGGGCAATGTGAATGACCATCACTTGACTGGGTCAAACAATGAACTCTAGACTATGAACAAATTACCTACAGTGGAGTTAAGACTGTCCAAATCTTCCCCAATGGACAAGGGAAGATGGATCACTAAACCAATGATGGCCCAAGCTTTGAAGACCCAGGTTTCAAGACAGGGGATGCAGAAGATTCCATGATTATGTCGTGGTTGTGGAGCTATTTGAAAGCAGAGATTAGTTGGAATGTTTTGTTTCTCTCTACTGCAAAAGGCATATGGGAAACACTACAACATACCTATTCTAAGAAGGATATTGCACTTGTTTATGAGTTAAAGGTGCAGGTTGCTTCCACCAAGCAAGGAAACATGAAAATCACAGACTACTACAATAAGATGACAGGTTAATGGCTGGAATCGATCACTACTGTTACCTGAAGTTGAAAAATAGTGATGATATTCATATTTTCCAAGAGTTTTTGGAGCATGATAGTGTTTGAATTCATAGCAGACTTTAATGCTGAGTATGATCAAGCAGCTATATCAAACCTTGATTTGAAAAAACAATACAACAGAGAAGTGTTCTAGTGTTCATACTATATCAAACCATGTCGTACTCAAGATACATGCTTCAAACTACATGGCAAAGCACAAGTTTTGGCTCAAACTGGGGGGTTTAAGGGTCATAGACAAGGCCAAGCCAACCTCACCAACAAGAAAGAGACAAATCTAGAAACAACCACTCAAAACAAAGAAGAGTTCAAGGAATTTAACCTAGAGGATATGAAAAAGTTGAGGCGCCTTATGGAATCACTTGAAAGTTCTTGTTCTCTCACCAAAGTCGGTATGCATCTCTTGACTAAAACTTCTAAAGCTTCAAGTACTACACATTTGAGTTCATAGGTTGTTGTTTCGGGTGCAACCAATCACACGACCTATAATGTTACCAATTTTGAATCCTATAATACACTCTAGGAAATATCTAACTAAATAAGGAAATACAATAAGAGATACATGTTGACCTAATCTTTTAGTGTTCAGTCCATCAGTGTAATTCAATTCTTCCATCATATATCCTGAAAAACCATAAGTATGGTGTAATATCTACTCATGAACTCTTTTTATATTAGTTCTTGTAACTCTAAGTCAACATGTGCGATGTAATATCTACAACAGCCATGTTCATCACTTGCTAAATTCATACATGTTGACTAAGAGCTACAAGAACTAATATAAAAAGAGTTCATGAGTAGATATTATACCATACTTATTGCCTTTCGGGATATATGATGGAAAAATTGAATTACATTGATAGACTGAACACTGAAAGATTAGGTTGAGACTATCTTGACTCTTCAATATTTGGATAGTCATGATGCATTGCTAGATGCTGGTCATATATATATATGTTCCTCATCCTTAATCAATTTAATTTTTATATTCATTACCAACGTATTGGAAGCCTAATGGGTCACACGCATAAGGTAAGATTGCTGAATTAAATTGGAATTATTCGACTAAGTAGGATTTAATTGATAGAAACCAAAACAAAGGAGGTTAGAATCAAAGTCCACAGGAACTTAATTGCAAAAGATGTGAAAGTTACATCTTAAAGTCTTAAGGCTGAAAATTGAAGAGGATTGTAAATACCCCTCTTATATTGTTAAGATTCCAAAAATTATGCCTAAGTTTCCTATTCTAAATAGCTAGAAATTAAAGAACTATTACTTTGACCTGATCTGACTTTGGTTTGATTGTATTGTATCTCTTATTTTATTTCCTTATTTGGGTAGATATTTTCTTGTAATTGTCCTTTTCTTCCATGATTAACTGCTGGCGCCAGTCCTAGTCTTACCTCCCTCTCTATCTATCCATGGGATGGAAAGGCGAAGGCCTTTGGTGTCCCCTCCAATGCCTTATAACTTTCTTCCTTCTTCCTGCCTTCATTGCCATCTATCCCATCCCTAAACAGTTGACCTAAAGATGTTGACAACCTCTCCTTAACCTATATGCCATCTATGGCTATAGGTGAACCTACTGCTACTGTTTCAATGTGCAATGTGAATGACCATCACTTGACTAGGTCAAACAATGAACTCCATAGTATGAACAAATTACCTATGGTGGAGTCAGATTGTCCAGACCTTCCCCAATGGACAAGGGAAGATGGATCACTTAACCAATGATGGCCCAAGCTTTGAAGGCCTAGGTTTCAAGACATGGGATGCAGAAGATTCCATGATTATGTTGTGGTTGTAGAACTATATGAAACCGGAGATTAGTCGGAATGTGTTTTTTCTCTCTATTGCAAAAGCCGTATGGGAAACACTACAACAAACCTATTCTAAGAAGGATATTGCACTTGTTTATGAGTTAAAGGTGCAGGTTGCTTCCACTAAGCAAGGAAACATGTCCATCACAAACTACTACAATAAGATGACAGGTTAATGGCTGGAATCGATCACTATTGTTACCTGAAGATGAAAAATAGTGATGATATTCAGATTTTCCAAGAGTATTTGGGGCATGATAGTGTTTGAATTCATAGCAGAGTTTAATGCTGAGTATGATCAAGCAACTAGAGCATAGCTTCTTGGTAAAGATCCAGTCCCAACACTTTGCAAAACTTTTTCCATTATTCAGGCTGAGGAAAGTCGACAAGGAGTTATGATGAAACCCCATACATCTGAAGCTACAGCTATGCTGTCTAGAAGAATTGGATACGAAGGTAATAAGGGAACTAGACCAGGTGACGATACTTGGCATGATTTGAAAAAACAATCCAACAGAGAAGTGTTCTAGTGTCCGTGCTATAACAAACCATGTCGTACTCAAGATACATGCTTCACACTACATAGCAAGGCATAAGTTTTGACCCAAACTGGGGGGTTTAAAGGTCATAGACAAGGCTAAGCCAACCTCACCAACAAGAAAGAGGCAAATCTGGAAAC